AGGAAGGAAGGAAGGAAGGAAGGAAGGAAGGAAGGAAGGAAGGAAGGGGATTTGATTTCTTCCTTCTTTTGTAGCCTTATTTTGAACTAATTATACATCATCAAATATTCCAACATTGTAGGAGTTATTTTTTTTCCTGATCAATCTGGAAGAATTGAACTCTTGTAGCATCCAAATCTTTCATTGTTTTAAGGCAGCAGAGATATTCTGGAATTCATTTGGCTTTGTTTTCTGCGCATTGTTCTGTCATCAATTAAAGCAGTTTAGTATTGCAATATCATTTACAAGGGCACTACTTCTAGATAATTTTCTGCTAAATAGAAAATAAAATAAGAGCAAGTTGGTATTTATTTTCATTCATAGTGTTTTAGCAACCACATGCCTTGTTTTAAGTGTGCCTAGTTAGCCTTCAATAGAAAATATCTTCCGCATCCCAGTGATTAATTACCAAACACTTACAGCAACATGGTTGAGATGCATCTGTGCCACATGTGAGGCCTGATCAGCTGAGTATTTTTAAAACAATTACAGAGTTAATTTCTAGCAGAACAGCAGACATCTGGTCTGATCTAAACAAAATACCATCAATATTGCCTCTCTCTCAAACAGACCACCTACTCCATTAGCCCTCATTAAAAATGGTCCCCAAAAGCAGCTGCTGATGAAAAAAAAAAGCTGCCAGTGACCACCATTATACAGTAGAACAGAAATTAGAGCATTCTGTGCTTTCATTAAAATATTCTTAAATATTTGATTTATAAAGTAGCACATACCATTATAATGATTCATGGAGCAGATTTTTCAACATTAAATGCAATCATATATTTATAGAATCTTAGATAAGAAGGGAGAGAGAGAATCCATGAATTCAGGACACAAGCTACTTCATTGCTTAAGAGCGCTTACATTTAGGAAATTTCTGAATTACTCACTAAAAACTTTCCACCCATTGGTTGTAATCTTATTTTAATACACTCTGGAGAACAAATCCCTGTGACATCCCTTTATGTATTTGAAGAGTGCCATCATGTCCTCTTAGCCATTTTTCTTGGGGCTAAGCATGCCAAGTTCCTTTAACCATTATTCATAGGATTTAACCTCAAAGCTCCTTAGATCTTTCTTTCTCGTCACTGAACTTTTTTGAGTCCCTCAGAGTCCTTCTTGCAAGTTTTAGTGCTAAGTCTAACTTGTACCTATGCATCAGGTTTTTACTGCCTAAGTGAATAATATTTCTCACTACTGACCATCATTTTGATGGATAGAGCTCAATGTTCAAGTATATCAATATGGTTTAAATCTTGAAAACCATCTTCTGGGGTATCAGCAATCCTACCTTTCTAGGTCATTCAGGTCATATGGGATTATTTGTAAAGATGTTGAAGATTAGAGTTGAACCCTGAATATCCCACTTCATATTTCTTCAATTGAACTTGTACTTCCATAGAAAAATGGAAACCTATTTCATTTATTGTATTTAAAAAAGGTACAGACACATTGCATCATCTGAATATCTTTTCCAAGGCCTTCATTGCCAGTCTGCCAGATAGTAAACTGCAGTGTATTTTTGGGATATATTGTTTCTTATTGTTTATAATTAATTCTAAAAGGCAGAAGCTACCTGTTAGATCTGGGAGGACGGTCCAAGAACGGAGGCAAGACTCAGATAGCAACAACAGCTCTTTATTTGTGACTTTAGATCTGAGCAACTAACCCCAGCCGCAGCAGCCCCTTATATAGGGCTGGCTGCGGCTAGGCAGCCAATGAAGGCGATTTGAGTTTGCCGCTCTTGGCAGGGCCAATCGCGGCAGCCTGTTTACTGGCCAATCGCATCAGTCTATGGCGACCAATCACGATCGGTTATCAGCGGGCCAATCAGATTTGCAGGCTACGAGCCTGCTAGTCCAGAACACCCCTCCCCTCTCGGTTCCGTTTAAGGGGTGGAGTAATATAGGCTCGCAGGTAGGCAGGTCTTCGCACCTGTCTGCCTGACTTACGCAATTCCAATTGTCCCTGTTCAAATCCGGGTTCAGATGGACTGCTTGCTGGATCAAACAGGAACGGTGAACCGGTGCCATGGTTAGGGCTCTCCTCTGGTGCCCCCGGGGTGATAGAGTCCTCAGCCTCGCTGTTACTGCCATGGCTCCCGGGGCTCGCTGAACCTGCCTGGTTGCTGCTTCTTGGCGAAGCGTTTGACTGTCCAGTCTCAGTTGCAGCTGGTGAGTGTTGCCAACCATGGTGCGGTGATCTCGGTGTTAGCTCGGAATAAACAGGTGTTGGTTCTAATTCTGAGTTCACTGCTTCCCCTCCCCCCCCTAGTGTCAAAATTAGGGTCAGGGTTGGAAGATGTGGTTAGTCTGGAGTGCAGTTGGTCAATATGGTGTTTCCATACTCTGCCATCAGTGGTGAGTAGACGGTAGGATCGGGGACCTGTAACTTGAGTTACTTGGGCAGGAATCCAAAGGGGATCCCCAGAAATTTTTTTTGCAAAAACAAGGTCTCCTACGATGAAAACACGGTGCTTGCTGCTGGAACCCAGGGGCTTTTCCGGGGTGTAGGCAGGGTGCAAATGATCTAGAGGTGATCTGAGTTTCCTGGCCATCAGGAGTTCAGCTGGGCTCTTGTTGGTCGTGCTGTTTGGTGTGATGTGTTGTAGGAGCAGCATTCTAGTGACTTTGTCGTGGATGTTACCTTGATCCATTTTCTGCAGGGTTTTCTTTGTAAACTGAACCATTCGTTCAGCCCGGCCATTCGCCACAGGATGAGCCGGCGATGTGAGTGCGTGTCGGATGCCCCGTTCCGCTAAATACTGTTCAAAGGCTAAGGCAGTAAATTGGGGCCCATTGTCAGAGCCCAGGACATCTGGTAACCCGTGTGTGGCGAAGAGTCTGTTCAGTTTTTTAATGACTGCCTCAGTAGTGGTTGCTTTCATTTTATTGACCTCAAGCCAGTTTGAGTAGGCATCTACAGTTATTAAGAAGATGTGGCCTCTCGTAGGTCCCGCAAAGTCAATATGAATGCGAGACCAAGGACCCCTGGGTGTTTCCCATTCTGCTGTGGGGCTTTAGGTGGAGCTGAGTGGTTTTCCTGGCATTTGTTATAAGAGGCGACCCAGGTTTCGATTTGTTTGTCCATACCTGGCCACCAGGCGTAACTTCTTGCCAGCACTTTCATACGCACGATGCCCGGGTGTCCATCGTGTAGCATTTGCAAGACCCTTTTTTGTAACTTAGTTGGTACAACAACTCGGTCTCCCCACAAGATGCACCCCTTTTTTGAAAAAAGTTCTGTTTGTCTGTTTTTAAATGGCTTAAACATTTCCTTAGTGTCATAATCTGGCCATCCCCTCTCCACCCAGCCAAGAACTCGTGCCAAGCAAGAGTCTCTTTTGGTTTCAAAGGCGATGTCTTGGGCTGTTAGTGGAGGCGATGGCATTGTCTCTATTTGCAGTACCGGGAGTGTGGGAGCTGGGTCTTCCTGTGGCTCGGGTAGTGGTGAGTGGCTCAAGGCATCTGCGTGAGGAATAGATTTCCCCGGGCAATACTTTAATTGATAGTCGTAGGCAGTGAGAAATTCTGACCATCGCGTCATTCTGGGGGAGAGAATGTGTGGGGTAGGTTTGTCGCCCGCCAGGATCCCAAGTAGTGGCTTATGATCCGTTATAATAGAAAATG